TGCTGAGTGATGTTTTCTGAGCAACCATGACTCTAAATATTTTTTTGGGTCAAAGCGTGGAAAGGGCAATCCAACAAATTTAATAAACGAAAGTGTAGAAATGGGTTTTGTTATCAATAAAGCTTTGGTTGGGGTGACAATCAGAATCCATCTGCAAAAACCCTCGTTCACATTCACTGGAAGAAATGGGAATAGTAATCAGAGCGTGTTTCAAATGCTGCAATTTTTCCTAAGCTTTCTTTTTAATCAAATACTGATGAAATCCACAAATCATCACTCTTTCATTTAGCTGAAGTCTTATTGATAATCTTCTGACCTCCATCTCATCAAATGTTAAATGAGCATCAACATTTTTAGGTCAGTGTTTTTTATCAAGCACTTGTGCACGTTGTGCTATATCGCCATCTTCACTATCAAGCAACCTATTTTAGATCAAATTTTTCAAGGTTCTGTTAAAAGCTTCCAGATTAATTGGAGGATCCTTTTTGCAATCTTTGTTGTGAAGTGAAACTTCCCAGAAGTGAAGATTTATTGAGACTTTGGCAGCATTTTTATAATATGGGCCTGAAATAATTTGTCTTTCTTCATAAATTTTTACGAGTGTTTTTATCTTTTGATCTGCCTTGTACAAGTCTATATTGTGCTCTTGTAAGTCCAAACTCAATTCAGATAATTCTTGGAGAGCATTACACGTCAATCCTAGATCCAATAGAAATTCTGTGCTTGTAATTTTTCTTTGTAAGTCCTCATATACACATTGCTCTTTTTTGTCTCATGTTGAATCATGCTTTGCTTCTTTGAAATGTTGCACTAATGCTTCAAAGTTCTCCCAAACAGCTGAAACTGACCGAAAACTAGATGCCACCCATCAAGTGCTTAAAATTTGTTCAATTTTTAAAAGTTAAATCTCCAACAAATTCGCACAAAAATTTTCAGTTCTCTGCTATTTTTAGGTGACAAATGATACAAGACATAAAGTTTATCAATAAATGCTTTAAATATGTTGATTCTCTAGACTGATTTTACAGTGTCACTGACCGACAGTTCTAATCTGTGATTACACAGTGCCAAACAATTACAGAAGGAAATGACTTCTTCATCAGTTTCTTAACTCCACTTTTACTCCCAAACATCACGGCTGCACCATCACATGCCACACAAAGTAAATAACTTTTCAGATAGTCTTCATTCATTCTGTAAGACTGAAGACAATCAAGTAAAAAATCAAAAATTCCTCTTTCAGTAACATTTTCAAGTTCGATCAAGTCTAAAAATAAATTTACCAGCAAGTTCATTCCATTATCCAGGATACAGATTCAAATGTACACTGTTAAGGTAAGTTTTTTACCCAAAAAAGGTGACTCGTCAATTATCAATAAAATTCTACTTTTCGATGTAGTAACTATATTAATCAGTATTTTATTCATTTCATCACTAATGTGATTCACAATGTTAATGCATGCTTTTGTTGAGTGAAGGATACAGCCCATGTCAGTTCCATTTAGTTCTTGTAAATCTATTTCAGATTCAAAATTATGAAATAATTGGTTTTCTTTTGCTACCTTATATGCTGTGCAAAAATTATTGTGCTAATCCCTTTTTTTGCAAGATAATCCTTTCAAACACACATTTTCAATGGTCTCTTTCTCAGCTTCAGCCAACAATGTTACCACAGCTTCATGTTATGGGGTTTCTTTGTGATCAAAGTTTTTTTCTGCAAAGACAGAAGCTGTTGCTGTAACCTTTCCACAAAATATGTTATTCCATTGTTGGTCCATTCTTAGAAACTTTGATTCATGCCTTTGTTTCCACTCCAAAAGTTCCAATTTTATGAAAAGGTGTACAGCCAAGTTTTATATTTCTAATATTCAGCCAATCGTACTTCCTGCAAAAATAATTTTTTTTTGATCGGCAGTCCAGCAGCCAGGCCAGTCATTGTCAGATAGCTCATGGACATTGGATGGACCAGGAACAGAAATTGCCACTGATGCCGTTAATTCCTATTGTGTGGTCATTTCCTCACTTATTCTAGCTTTCTTATTCACAGAAGGTAATTTGTTTCATACTTATGTTGGGGTGTTTTCTAAAAACACAATAAAAATGATATACACTCAAAGCACAGTAGAAAAGAAACACACACCTGCTCAAATTGACATCACCACCTCGACTGAGCGTATCAGGCCAAAATGACTTATTCCCAAGACTCGCACGCATATTCTTATCTTGACCGAGAAGATACTGTGTGATTAATTACATCAATGACCATCATCCACTTTGTGACTTATTTTATTTGTACGAATTGGCATCATCACCTCGACTGAACATGTCAGACCAAAATGAGACTCTCATGCATATTTTTATCTTGGCTGAGAAGGTGCTGCATGATTATAAGTCAATTGTCATTGTCCACTTTGTGACTTATTTGAACAAATGTACAGTCCAGACCCACATACCAGTCATCTCGGCTTTTGGTCACCTGTTTCCCAGTCCAAAGTGGTCTCTTTGAACTTAGTATTGCATCCACCCAGGCCGGCTTTCACCTATCTCTGCCCAGTTAAAACCTGTCAGTCAAAGTAAGGCCACTACTGTACATTGACTGATAGTGGCCACATCTTGTAAGTGTTAAAACCAGGTGGCCATTGATCTTCTGTATTAGTGGCACACTAATTCTACCTGATGCTTCACACCTCATACTTCACTGATGATCACACATACACAATCAAACAAACAATATGTTTTCACACTCCTTTAAACTTTGTCATTTGTAACACTTCTAGTTCAGTGTCTCTTTGGTCTTCTTGTGAACAAAAGATTTGTTCAAAGGGGAAAATTTACACATTCATTTAAATTACTCTTTCAAGTTTTGTCACTTTTCTCTCCATTTTTCATATTGAAAAATGGTGGCAGTATGCAGTACTGGTGCATACTGTCTCAAAAAAAGCCCTGTATATATGTTTTTTCTGTTTTTAAGATGAGTTTATAACTAGTCAGACTGTATTTATGTAATGAAATTCATGATGTTAGGAAAACGTAGGTTCAAAAAAAGACAAACACAAGACCTGATAATCCAAGTGCTTTCAAAAGGTGGACTATTCTTCGTCAGGGGCCACTGGGAATTGCCCGAGATAACTTGGGCACTCTCCATGTTTCAAAAAACATTTGGGAAAGTTAATTTGGGCAAACCATTTTGTTGCTGTATTTGCCATAATTTATTTCCATGTTGTTATGTATTGCAATCGGTGCTTGCTAGATGGCATTGGAAATGCAGTTTGTGCTGGTCTGTATTGGAGTTATTCTGAGTTATGTATCATAAGCACTAAAGGAAAGCATTCATCTTCTTTACTGTAGTTTCAGTGAAATAATGTATATCACTTATATGTAGCATTTATTGAATGTATTTTGTGCAGAAACATATAAACAGATGATAAAAGAACTTTTGGTTTTCATTAATATATAAGCATCAACTATCAAAAAACCTAAATGAAAATAAAACTCAGATTTTTTTAGCTCATTTCCAAAAAAAAGCCTGACATAAAAGGGGTTAAAGAGAGGCTAGAAAAGATGTTACTGTATTATGCCAGAACATTTATTAATTGTTCATTGAAACTGTGTAATTAATAAGGTTTCCTTTACTTTCCATAAGTTTATCTGTTTTTTCTCTATTGAGAATTTCAATATTATCAAGTTGGAACAAATCGCCATATATTCTACCAAACAGATTTATTTATTTTACCAGCCAAACATACAAGTATACATATTTTTGACCTAATATTCCAGTATCCCTTCAAACACAACTAATTCCTGTTTGACAGGATATAATGTATGCTATATTTATAATTCCAGACATTTTAAATTTATTTTCTGTTTATTAGATTCTTCATTTAACCATCATTCTCATCTAAGAATAACCAGCTAATCACTGTTAAGTTCAAACAATCAAATATCAATGTGTCCATCTGCTAGTTTTCATATTTCTCAGATTACAAGTTCACTCATTATAGTTGATGTACGTGATGTCAGATTAACCAGGTGAAACATTGTAACCATAGGAATAACACTGTTTATCCAATTATAAACAATCTGCAAAACTATTAATCAATTGAAGAAACTTTTAATTTCTTTATAGAAATGGAAAAATAATCTAATACATGAAAGAGTTGAATAGTTTATATATAATTTTTATAATATACTTTTATTATGAATCTAGGTTTTGTTAACTTTAATGGGTTTTCATATTTCAATGAACATAATTTTTTCAGTGAGAAACTAGAAATTTCCATTTGCTAAAAGTATACTGTATTCTACCTAAAATTTATTCAGTTTTGTTTATCCCTACCTCAACAAGTTATCACTAGCTTACATCTATATGTGTTTTTTTTTAGTGGGAAAGCTCTATCCAGTTGTTGAAAGGACAGATTCATGAAGCAATGGATAACCGAGGACTAGCTGCAATGTGTTTCAGGGAAGCTCTTCACTTAGATGTGTACTGTTACGAAGCTTTCCATTCCCTTATACATCATCAGATGCTTTTGAAAGAAGAAGGTAATGCCAGCCATATTATGTGAAATAGAACTTAAAATTGTAAAATACTGTATTGACAGGTCCATTATTATTTTTCAATATCCAAACACAATGTAAAGCATAGATAGTTAATTATCTAATAATATCGTGTAGTATTCAAGCACACTGAATTTCAACTGATATTTGTAAGTATCAGCAAAGAAGTGGGTACTAGAAATATTATACAGACAATAAAATGAACACAGCATAGGAAAAAAGATGTAATTACAATCAAAATTGTCATTCAGAATCACTATCAGTTTTTAACTTAACAGACTGATGCCCATTTTTACTTTTTAGTGTAACTTACTGTTGTAGTAGAGAGAAAGTGTTTTTTTTACTTCTGGACTGGATGTAGATAAGATCAAGAATATTGATAATACCACACTATTGAGATCATACCAAAGTCCTTGTGTGGTATCCCACAATTATTAATTATTTGAATAGGAATCATTTACATATATAAATGAGACACACTGCTATCTCATTTTAAATTGTACAAGTCTGTATCACCCCTTAACCCGTTATTTGCCGTTGCCATTTTGTCTTATTGTGAGGGCAAAATCACATTTGTGAATTGAAAAAAATGATAGAGAACTTATCTTTTATTGGATTTCAGATTTTATTTTTGTAAACAGTAGCATAACATTCAATTATTTGTACAAAATTGTATTATTTAATGAAGTTTAAAGAGGAATTTAATGAAAAAATTCCTGAAATACGTTTTAGACTGTAAATAAGCACCCTCTAAGAAGAAGTTTTTTTTAATTTTTTAAGATATTTCCTTTCACTTCAGCACTGGTCCTGCCATCTATGATTGGTATCTAAACCTTTTTCTAGTCTGTTTTCTT